AAGAGGGTGAAGCAACTGTTAGCTCGCTGTTTGATCCACTGAGCTTTATAAGCTCCCTACACGATAAAAGCCAAGCTACTACTACGAGACGAGCTTTACCGCGAGAAATTAAGATGACACAATCTGATTTATGAACCTGAAAAAATGCAGTGGTCGCGTTGGTTTGACGATCTCCCACAGCTGAAATCTTATGTTAACGGTGCCTGAAATCTAAGGATTTCATTTCAGTAAAGAGTGTTCAGGTGCATATCGTCTCTGATGGATCTCGCGTGGGCTATGGAGCAGTAGACTATCTGCGCTTTTTCAACGCCGGTAGAATCCATTGTAGCTTCGTTATGGGAAAGACAAGATTGGGTCCCATACACGAAATCACACTACCAAGATTGGAGTTGACTCAGTAAAGCTGAGCCAACCATACGAGAAGAGCTAGAGACCAGGATAGATCAAGTTAATAAAAATGAACTGATTCTAAAACTGTGCTGAAATGCAACAATAGTGACACGAAGCGCTTCCACATGATTGAGGTAAACCGCCTTACTATTATCTGGAGCAAATTATCCCCCTGAGAGTAGGGGTTTGTCAGTCGGGATGACAATCCGGCGGATGATTCAGCAAAAGGTTCAAGGTCTGAAGAACCTAACGAAGAATAGTCGATAGCTGAATGGACCAGCGTTTCCTTATGGAAGCACTAGGCTCCCTGGCCTGCAATAATTTTCAGTCCCGGAACTGATACATAGTGACCCAAAGTAAGGGGAAAAAGCAAGATTTACGCCACTACTGCTTCTTACAATCCTCTTGACAAGTTCGTATATCAATATTCTTTGTGGTGGAAAATAAAAGCAGCATTTACCTGGCTGATGTAGTAAAGTTTACGAGCAGAAACAGGGAAGCGTCAAAAGCAGTACGCCATCCTTAGTAACAGAGCGTTTTTAAACGGGAGTCTTACAGTGGAAGAACGTCATTAGGCTGAAAAAGAAGTACCGTAAAATTCCGAAAATAAGCCCCTCCATTCATAAGCTCCTCCAAATGTAAGCCCCCCAAACTCGTAACGCAAAAAACCCTCCGTTAAATCGCCCCTCCAAAGTAAAAGCCCTCCCGGGGGGCTTGTACTTGGAAATTGCCCTCAAATACAAAGTAAAACAAAGCAAAAACGGTAAATTTCCTTCCAACTATAACGGTAGCCCAATCGATTTTGAGACGCAAATTTCCTTTCGAAGATAAGCCCCTCCAAAAATAAACCCCTCAAAAAGGGCCTTTGAAAAATATAAGCCCTGGAGCTTATTTTCGGAATTTTACGGTATTTAAGGCACCTGCTACCTTGTCGGACGAAAGACAAGCCAAAAGGATTTTACGAGGAAAGGTTCATCAAATTTTAAGTTAGGCCAAAAGTTGAGAGGTGGATTATTATCCCTTCATTCGTCCAAGGGATGACTATGTCACAGAACTAATAATTGCTTTTCCTATCACCATGAGAAAGTAGGTTACCTTAATTGGACAGGGGTTTGTGTTTTTATCTCTCAGAAAAGGTTCTGGACTTGTAAATGGACGTTCTGTAGTGCGCGAGTGTTAACGGTAGTGAAGACTGTTAGAAAAGAAAAGCTTCATTGGGACCACAATTGATCGCAAATTTGCCGCGAGAGGGAGTTACGCCGCACAAACCTTTGTTCACGCATATTGGAGTGAACGTTTTTGGTCCATAAGAGAAACAAGGCCGAAAGCAGAGTGAAACAGTATAGTTGTCTATTCACTTGATCAACATTCCGAGCCATACACATCGAAGCTGCACACAGCTAGAACACAGTCTCAATGTTTAATGCCTTAAGAAGATTCATTAATCTCAAAGGTCTCCTAAAGCAAATTCGAAACGACTGTGGAAAGAATTTTACCAGAGCTGATGAGGAGTTGGGGCTAGACCTGTGTCGATGAGTGTATCAGCAAAGAATCAATGGGTTTTGTACATACAGAGGGATTAAATGGATCTCCAACCCACCTGGGACATGCCATATGGGAGGAGCTTGGGAGAGGATGACAAAGGCCGTACACCAGATCCTAAAGGCCTTATTAACACGAGCTGTACAGTCAGAAGGTGCGCGAAACGACAGAAGGGAGGAGAAGTGCAAACTACGACAACAGTTCTTAAACGGCCAAGTATGAAACCTGCTCATCATCGTTGTCCTCGTCTTTATCTTCATTAACATCATCTTCTACATCATCCTCACAATATTTTCAGCTCTTATTCTCGGCAAGCCCTCTCCCTCATTCAAAAAATTGGGTATTCCTTCTATCGCCTTTATATTGTTTCGGACAACCCACTGTTTCGTGTCGATTGCTGTTAGACTTAAGGCTAAATGCTCTCGGACAGAATGGCTAAAATGTACCATTCTCTCGCCCTATTAATTCGATGAACGTTTGATATGGAAAGTGGACTCGCAAAACTCCCCCGTTTAATTAATTTAGGGTTAAGGTCACTCAGGACTACTTTACTTTGAAAGCAACGCTAGAGCCACTAGGAGTGGTCAGTGAGCCCTTTTGAGCTTAACTCTGGGCAACTCTTAGTAACTCAGAGCAACCGTGAAAAATTATTGAGCACCTCAAAGCAACACTGAGTGATCAACGTCACTAGCTCAGAGCCACACTGTGTGGTCAGTGAGCCCCTTTTGAGCTTTACTCGGGGCAACTCTAAGTGGCTCAAAGCAATGTTGAATAACCATGATGAGCAGCTCAGAGCAACACTGAGTAAATAGTATACACATTAGCGCTACTGAGAGCAGCTCTAAAGTAGCTCGAAGCAGCGCTGAATAATCAGTGAGCAGCAGGGGGGTCAGTGAGAGAAAAAGTATGGAAGCGGGGTTTAGTAATGAGGTCGCCATCTTGAACTTTTTATGTGAACACGTTTTTACTAATGAGGTCGCTATCTTGAATGGGAGAAAAGTTTGGTTCAGAGAAAGCAAAGTTGAAATCGAACAACTAGAATGTAGCGGTAAATAGTTTGTCTCAAGTTCAAAACAAAGCCTCAGTATATCGATTACGGTCGTTTTTAAACATACCACACTCTTTTTCTCAACTGTGCTTAATGCTGGGTGACAGAAACTAAAACAATCGTTTAAATTCGAATCATTTGGAACCGAGAATTGTATTCAATATATTGGACCCTTCCTCGAACTTGTTCAAAGGAAACAAAAGGGCTATTAAATAAACTTAATTAACAACGTTTGAAGGTCTGCTCTTTGACATTCCGCTTTCTACGAAACTTAAAAGAAAAAACGCCCTCTTCAAATAATTATCAGTTATGCTCTTTAAACTTGAGTGATTTCAACACAGCATTTATCTTTTGACGTCACTATTTACCTGTCTCAATTTCCATATGTTAATCACCATGTGGATCCGCATGATCCGCCCACCTAGAAACCTTATTTGCTATACTACTTACTTAAGTTACTTTGCGAACTTACATTTTCTCTGAGCTATGTTCGGGACGGGACATCCGGTTCCCCATGGAGAGCCAAAGTATGAGATCCATTGGCGTTTCTATGTCAGGGTATGGCTCCTCACCTGAAGACGACAACCAAGATAACAACATATTTTGCTTAGGAAACAGCTATGAGAACACTATAAAAATTTGCTAATATTTGATACCCACCGTAAGTGGCAATTTCCCACAAGACAATACCATAGGACCATCTTTAAGGAAACGAAAGAAACAGAAAGATATACAAGTCAAATAAATCCATTCACATGCACGATCGAATATGACTAAACGATATGTAAAAACATGAAGTCAAAAGTCATTGCTTCAAGTATCGCAGCTGATCTTTGATAAAACCAGTTTGGACACCTACACGTCACTTTTGGCAGTATATACTTGGGCCTTTAACGATTCTAAGGATAACCATCTCCAAGGTACTCTACCCTACAGAAGAGAGAAAGATTCTCGCTTTAGAATTTGAATAGCCCGCGATCATGTCCTTTCGGCATCCCTATTACATACCAAAAAAATCGCAAAGTAGAAGTTGAAGGGAATTACCTTCTTCGTTCTGTGAGTTTTCTCTTCCAAATGTATTGAAATGAATTCGATTTATTATAACACTTTAATTAAAAAAGCCAGTAAATGATAAACGTATTTTGATTAGCACTGCTATTGAACAATCAGTTCATCCGTCAGCGTGCGCGGGAAGTCTGGAGAGCACGAAAAAGGCATAAGAGTTTAGAGCAACTCTAACCTCTCGAGTGTTCTCCAAACTTCCCAAGTGCTCAACATCTCGACATACGCACAGTTGAAGCATGAGCTAATTGTTTTGTAACATTATCAAAGCGATCGATATAGCAGTTCATTTAAAATTTTATTATTGTACCGCACGTCAATGTCTACGTGACTATATATGTTTTTACCTGACAGTTATGTTTTTAAGCTTATCTTGAAACCGAGAGAGATTTAACTCAACTCACTTAAGATAACGTTACAAAAGATTGTAAAATCCATATTGGGGTACCGAAAAACTATTAATTCACAGAAAAGTTCTTCTAGAGAGAAAGATTTTTGCAAAGAATGATTTGCACACGCCATAGACCGCACAGCTCGTGCAGATGACAACAACAACAACGACACACACCTAATTTCCCTTACTATTGGTTAAGAAATTCAAACGTTTTCTCTTAAATTTACGTTATGAAATACATGGTAAGCGCTTCATCGCGTATGCACTTGCATTGGGAGACGTCTTGGGAGGATGGTCACAAAGACTTGATGTATACTTTATTGACGTCATCAGTGTGCTCAATGGGGATATGGAGCACTCTCGCGCCATTAAATCTGATCAGGCGAACATTCTAGCTATGTTATAAAGCTTGTTCTAGTCCGGTGATAAGCGCCCCTCGGTTATAAGCCCCCCTCGGATATAAACCCCTCAGTTTATAAGTCCATCTAAAACCCTTTACGAAGATACATAAGCCCAGGGCTTATAAGCGGCAGTTCACGGTATATCATTCTTATGGTGTCTCGATTAACAGTTGAAAATGTCGGCTGTCCCAAAATTGTGCAGTTTGAAGCGGTTCCCGAGCCTACATGTACTTACATTGGATATTTTGGTGTAAATACCATAGTCTGAGATATCACGTGCCAATCCAAAGTCGCCAACTTTGGCTACGAGGTTTTCACCAATGAAGACATTTCTAGCTGAAAGGTCGCGATGAACGCACTAAAAAGAAATAAAAAGATACAAAGATAAAAAATTGTATACCGGTAAAAGCTCAAAACGTACAGAGATGCGATCAGAGCTTCGAACTAATCAAACCTAACTGTGAAAAAAGTGATTGGAGCGAGGGCTATAATAAAAAAGCCCAAGGGTAATGGAAAGAAATGGGAAATTCGGCGCAAAATCTTAGCGGTTTTTTGTTGGTTTGCATGAGAAGAATCTGAAATCCACTTTCCTCTGAGTAAATTCTTAAACACTGAAAAAAGCTTTGTAAAACGACAACAACAAACAAACAAACAACCTGCACTGCTTAACATTACATCAAACTGAAACAAAGACTCATTTTAGGCAGTTTACGAAACATATCATATCAAAATAATAATACTGATATCAAACTAAATCATAGAATAGCATCAGTGGGAGTAAAGAGTCTAATCTTCGCGGTGGCGCGTAAATTGTTGCAGGTCACAGGTAAATTGTCGCGGGTTCCGGGTGGATTTTCGCAGGTCGATCATGGGTATAGAATTTTCGCGGGTGGACAAGAATATCAAAAAACGAATTAAAAATAAACCGAATTTTGAGACCGTAGCGAGCATCAAATGCTGGGGTCAATAACGCACATTGTCGGGGTAAAATTCACCTTTTCGACCCCCCCCTCCGGCAAAGTCGTGATAACTCCTACACCGAAAGAGCTAGGACGTTCAAATTTTCTGACTTTTCCTAAAATTTATCTAGGAACATTTTGGTATAATTACCATGTCCATGTGATTAATCATGTTGCCATGGCAACCAGTTTCTGACACATAGGTTTTGGAAAATTTAAAAAATGGTGATTTTTTTGTTTTAAGATCGCGTTTTTACACTTATAGTGCTTTTTGTTGTTAAAATGGTCTTTTCTTGGGACTAGTTTTTGAATTACATCAAAATGTTTCAACATCGAATATTTGGGGGGAGGGGTGGGGTAAAATTTGTCACTTTTTTGCTTTGACAAATATGCTGCTCTATTTTCCAAATAACACTTCCAAAGTCAATTGTTTGGGTAATAAACATTAGTTTCATACTTCTTTTATACATTCTGAGCTTTTTCCCCTTTGAAAGTTGCTGTAAATTATAATTTTAACAAAAAAACGGAAATCCAAGATGGCGGATCCAAGATGGCGGATCCAAGATGGTGGACAAACATTTCAAATTTTAAATTTTATTGCTTCCTATTACTTTTTCTCGCTATACAAGTGGCTCCTTGTTACTAGTTCATAAGAAAGGATATTAAAGAGATGACTTTACCAATATTATTGATATTTTATGTATCTAAGTGGAAAAATAATAAGAAACATTGAAAAATCGGAATTTGACGTCACTGTGACGTCATCATTGGGCGTGGCAAGTCAAAACTGGGTGTGGGGCTTCTTTGTACGGAGATGATCATTGTGTGTAAATTTCATGACCCTAGCATCATTGGTTCCAGAGATACAGAGGGGGGGTCCGAGGAGCCCCCCCCCCCCCAGTCACAGATTGACCAAAAAAGCCCAGTCTGAATAGGGTTAAAAGTAGCAAATCTAGGGAACAGTTTCTTTTACGGTTAACTCTTTTTTACTCTCTTTACGGCTAGCGGTTAAAATTTTTCAATTTTCACGGCTATCGACTAAATTTTTGGCCGTTTTACGCCTATCTGTTAACTCCATTGAGACCCTCTTAATAATATAGACAGAGCAAAGACAGACGGCCCCAGAGGAAGAATATAGAAAAATACCACTCCACGGATGACAACTACTATATGAAAAATATCTGCTAGAATAATCATCCCTTCATATGCTGAAACGTGCTGAGGTACAGGAAAATGTTTTAAAGATATATTACAAAGAGGTAAGCACGTTTTGAGAATGGAAAGAAGATATTATATTTGAACGCAAAAAGGTATTACACGTATATACCCTTACCTTTTTCTTTTCTAAGAACTGCATCCCCAAAGCGATTTGAAACGCGATTTTAAGTAACACCCGGTCGTTTAAGCCAAAACGTACATTTACATAACGACTCGCTTCACCAGAAACGCATGCTATTCGTTTTGATATAAGGAAGTTCTTTAAACTACCATACGGAACCAGTTCAGTCACAACAAGAATCTTCTCTGAAATAATAATAAAAAAGAAAAAAGAAACTTATTAAAGAAAAAAAGGAGCCGGGTATTAATTCATAACAGCAAATACTGATTAGGATAAAACATACCCTCTCGAGTACAAACGCCAACTAAGCTGACGATGTTTGGATGCCGTCCAGCTTGTTTTAACATCTTTATTTCACTTAATAAATCGTTTTTGTCTTCCATGCTTGTACCATCTGTATAGAAAAGCCACATAACAGTAAATTTATTAACATGTTATACACTGATTAGCTTTCACTGTGTTCGATGTTTCTAAATCGCGGCAAGATATATACTTTATCATCATCATCATCATTATCATTTATTTATCCATTTATTTTTTTATACCAGATAACCTGCATCAAGCCTTCTGTGGGAGTTCTTGGGGCCCTGTTAGAGGAGAGGACATTTGAAAAGAAGAAGAAGGCGTGAAACAAAGAAGTAAATGCAAGAAAAATATGTTGATGTACATTGTGCACATTTCTTCTGCAACACAGGTTTCGTTGCAGCATGTCTACTCATTCCTTTAAAAGTAAGGCTGATAAATGAAGACGCACTAAATGAAAAAACATATCAACCAAATTAGGTGCCTTTTATTCATTTATAATAGTACCTTTCAACTGCTTTACTGCGACATCATAGATCCTTCCATCTTGTCCCCGGTAGCTACCTTTATTAACAATTCCAAACTCTCCCTCTCCAAGTACTACGTCAGACACTCTTAATCTATCCGAGGCAATCTCCCAGCTTTCTTCCTTCTCCTTTAATAAGATACTATAAATATATTTCTATGATCAGAAAATTTACAAAAGGTATAATAAAATATAGGTATAATAAGACAATTGCTCTCGCTGTCTGACCCCATACTTATTCTAGTAGGTAATCCGAAACTTTTAATAGGCTGTCCTAGTAAGAATCGACCACTTGATCATGATCAAAATTTCCATTCCGTTCAAAATTTGTCGATAAAACAAGGTTCACATAAGATGAAAGAGAACCAGTTTCTTTGGTTCTAAATCTTTATAATACCTTTATAATACTCGGAAACCTCAAAACAGGTATTTCGCGAAGCCAACATTTGCCCGATTTCGGTTGTTGTCTGTTGTAGCGTCGAAAATCGATCTTGTCGGTTTTCTTCAGTGTAAGAGGTTTGTTGTTAAGTGTGCGTTGCAGTGCGGGTGTCTTCATTGCCAATAACATCACGGCTTAACTGACAGACGACCAATAACATCGCGACGTAATTGGCCAATTAGATCAATAACCAGAGTATAATACCATCAACTATCGTAATAGACCTCACTTTGACTCTGAAGATGACTACCGAACAGGTTGTCGAGACGTCAGTCACTGTTAACAATAAGAGTTCTATTCAAGACTACGTTCACCCGGACGATCAAACTCAACCTACTTTTGAAATGACTCCTGGGTTCAAACCTTTCACAGTCTTATCTCTGGGTGGAATTCCTCTTTGTCAAGTGGGCCCTCATATTTAATGTTATTTTTTTCTGTAGGGTCCAACGCCCACGCCCTTCAAACCTTGGCTAGTTCTGAACTCGGCTGCAAAACCAGGTTTATTTCATAGGTACTGAGATTTATCCACGAAAATCATAGTGGATAAAATTCATACTGATACTGCTCGTAGCCAATCAGGAGCACGAACGACAAAATTTCACCGTAAAAAACTATCATTCGTCCAATCAGCAAAGCGAACGACGCTTCGCTTCGAAGTTTAATGGCCAGCTTCGAACGACAGTTGAAGAAAAATGGCTATTCTGCCAGCATAATCAACAACTTGGTCTTTGAGAAAACCAGAAAATTTCCTCAATCCAAGCAAAAAAAGCTGAAGAAGCAAGGAAAATGGAATAAACCCAAAGCATCGGTAGCTTTGACAAGCGAAGAGTTAAAAATACTGTACGAGAAGGGTTTGCTCTGGCTGGACAACACAGTAAGTGTTCTAAATTTTATAGGCTTTCATTAACTTAGTTGTTGTTGAGCGATTTTAAATTGACTACTTGTTACATTTTTGATCTCCCCAATTGTGGAATTCGTCTACTAAAATACAACAAAAATCTCAGTACCTATGAAATAAACACAGTCAATACGTATCAGAAACCTCACTCGTTCGCTGCGCTCACTCGTTCTTTTTCTGATACTACTCAAATCGTAAATAAAAATCTGCGGCTAGTCCCTTGGCTAGGTCCAGTTTCGCTAAGGGAATTAATATCTAGCTGCGGATAACTGTTGATAGTCAAGCCGTAAGAACTCCTTAAACGTTGATGTCGTCGCTCGTGTGTTCAGGTGCATGATCGTAAGGTGCGGAGAGGGTGGAGATCATCCAATCAGTCTGATAATTCAGTGTCATGGGAAAATTATGTAGTGTCATGCGCTTAATATGCTACTAAGGCCTTCCGACCATTGCAGAACATCATTGCAACATCTGTCCACGCATTTTCAAGAATATAATTAGCGATGGCCAGCATAAACAGGGAAAGCTTTTGTGGCCAGTATTTCCCACACAATTCAAACTAAGGCGCCAGCGCACGTATTATCTCCCGCTTTGTAAGAACAATAGCTAGGTTTAAGAAATTAAAGTTTTTAAATGACTTCATGTCAACAGTCTGATAAGTCTTATTAGATCATAATTGCTCCAAATGGTAGCTTAGATGATACTTTTTAAACTTGATTTTATTTGTTAAATGTATTTGCCTTCATGATTATTGTACATATTTTTGTCTAAAATAATTACATTTATTTGTATTTAACTCTAGCGGAAGGGAGGGAGGACTGGCACTAGTTTCTTTCTCGGTCATGTGTTCTACGCAGCTTTTTGCCATGTGCTTGTACCTATCGTAGCTTCGCTGAATACACGTTTATTTCTCAGAATAGATTCTTACGGTGTGTTGTTGTCGTTGTTTACACTATGGCGACCAGAAAGAACGGCAGGAGAACGAAACATCAAAGGCGTTCATACCTATCCTTTTGTGTATACTGCGGTTACCAGCCTCTCCCAAGAGCAGCATTAACCCTTACTCGCTACGCAGCTTTTCTGACAAGGTAACTCTCAGCAACCTCCATCCCAGCTTATTTAAATGCGGTTCGCATTCTACACCTTCAACATGGTCTGACTGACCCAACCAAAAACAATTCTCAGTTGGCAACTACACTTCGACGAAACAAGCGTGTAAAACGTTTAACAGTGTCCCAAAAGAAACCGATTACACCCCATTTCCTATTAGCCTTCAAGAGTCACTTAAATTTGGACAAACCTTTGCATGCAACTTTCTGGGCAGTTTGCCTAGTAACGCTTTTTGGCCTCCTGCGTAAGGCGAATTTGCAATGCACAGGATTCACAGTTTGACCCGTCCAAACACCTACGCAGGGAAGACATACTCTTCTTTACTTACTGGACCAGCACCATTAATCGATGGTCAAAGACCATCCAATTTGGTCAGCGCTTTTTAACTGTTCCGTTACCTCGCATTGCCCATCGTCCACTCTGCCCTTATACAGCTCTCAGACATGCCTTTCTCTTGGTACCTGCACCTTTATTGGGTCCAGCCTCCATCCCAGCATCAACTGAGGAAGGCCTGACTGCTCTGACTTATGGAAAGTTTGACTCCCTTCTAAAGCTGTTGGCAGCCAAGACGAACATAGACCCCTCTCAAGTTAGTGGACATAGCTTTCGCTCGGGCGGAGCCACTCTGGCTTTTCAAGCTCAAATCCCTGCAGAACTGATTAAGCGTTTAGGAGACTGCTGGCAGTCAGATGCTTATAGGTCTTATATACACGTCCCAGTTAAAGATAGAATGCACGCAGTTGAGCGTCTAGCTTCGTGTGTTTGGATTTTTCCCTCGTGGAGACTTTTTCGTCTGGGGTTAGGCGGTGCCTTTCTTGGGCAAATGTTATTAAATGGAAGGGTTCACTTCGGAGCCCTTCCCTGTTTACTCCAGACTTGACTGTTGTAGTTTTATTTCTTTGACACTCGTATAAGAGAGAGTTAAAGATTTCAATGCCTTTTAAATTTTATATGTAATACACAATTCACCCATGTACAGCTGCGACGTGTTTCAATAAATTATCTATGTTTATCTAATATCTTAAAGTTGAGCGACACCAAAAAACCGTGCAATGAGATTGTCATAAAATACAAACTTCATCGATAGAAACTCGACTTCTTTGTCCTCCGCGCACAAAAGAATCCAAATTGAACAAGACCTATATCGGAATTATAACCCGAGAATTAGATGTACAGACAGCAACGGCAACCGTATCCAAACTATGCCTGAAAAATGCGACGGAAAAAGCTTCTCCTGCAAAATAGCTGTGAACGAAAATGTTACAGTTATTTTCCCCGCATGTTTTGAATCTTCGATGGATCGTCCGAATAAATCCTCCGCTTAGGGTAAAACTTTGCCATTTGTTGTGAGCAAAGAATACTAACTAGACAAGAGGAAGGGACGAAAAGCCGATTCAGCGCTTCTTTCAGGTAACATTTGGTAAAACTGGAGATCCGCACTGCTCGTAGTGGGGAGGAGCGTTGCGTGACGCACTAAAAACGGCAGTGTAGCAGACTACATTTCTCGAAGGTTTGATGCAAATGAGTCCAACGACGCTCAATTCGATAATTCGTCCCATGATACCTTGCGACCGTGTCTAACCTCCTCTTGACTTTTCGTAAAATAAATCGTCTTGCTCGATAAGTAGTTTTCCGTCTCAATGTGAACTGTAAAACATTTTATGTTATTCTGAGCGGCCTTTTTACATTTTTCTTAATATTAAGATAACAACCTTAGAAAACTACGAGGTACAAAAAAAGCGCGCAATATTCACGCATACTTATTTAAGCGCGCGCTAGCTTTCGTGTCAACAAGTAAAGCCATTCCCGAAAAATGCTGATCGTGATTATTCCACTTTGTCTTGTCCGGTAGAAGTCACCCCTGGCCATTTTGGGAATAGTATTCCCATTTTTTTACTTCGTAAAACTGTGATTGAAACAGGGCTTTCATAATAAACACTCACCGGACAGTCTCGCGTATCAGTAATTCCATATTAGGAAGTAATAATAATAATAATAATAATAATAGTAATAATAATAATGATAATGATAATAATAATCATAATCATAATAGATGTTATTTAGCCAGGGTGGCCTCTTCAGTATAAAATGCTGATATCAAGTAAATTTTGATTGGTTGTCCAGGGCTTCAGGGCTATATGCTTCTGGTTTTTAATATACATTTTAAAAAGGATCACGTCAATATGAGACTAAAGTACGTTTATCGTTTTTTAAAACGAAAATAAAATATTCTCGATCCACCTACGCAAAGATTACACTGAATGTACGTACACTACTTGTACCTTTCTCCCTCCAAAGCATTGTTTTGTCCGACGCTAGTCCTAGTATTTTTGCCGCTGTCACAAGCGCGAGTCATCGGCTGGCGAAACTTCAATGTTCTTTTGGCAGGAATATCACTGGGTGTTGGACGAGGCAACTCACTCGTTCGAAACCGCTCTTTTGACAGATGAACACAAAATTCCCCTGAAAAGAACAGATTTACGGTATATCGTTAGGAATCGGCCTTAGGTTTTTCACTTGCAAGTCATAAAAAATGTACTAAAATTTCAAAGCAGTTGAACAGATTTTGAATTCAAAACAACTACACAACGTTTGAGTTTAGAAAACATACTTCGAATACTTCTGATCAGTTACAGTAATCTTATAAGCAGGACTTAAGTTTGCTCTTACACTTGGTACTTAAAGTTCTAAGTGTAATTTTCTTAATTTGAGACGCAGATCTCGAGTACACAAAAACACTCTTAAGTCAGAAGGGATTGACATTATTTGCCTTTAAAACGAAAAGATCACTATGAATATAATCCACCAATTCCCACGAAAGAGTTACGGGAAATCATGCTGCTCATGAAAGAGTGTCAATTTACTGACAAGAACACTTCTTGAAGCATGTGTAAGATGATCAACGTATGACACTTGCTTCAGGCCTGGTTACCCACTGAGCAACAAACGAGAATTAAAATGCGCTGTTTTCAGTACATACCGAATATGGTTAAGGGGGGGGGGGGGAAAATTAGATGACGATGAGGGTTAATCTACATAATCTAGTATACAGTAACCAAAAGATCCGAAAAATGATGTTTACGTGACTTCGTATACTGTAGACATCTTGAGCGGGTACATCGCTAATGTATGCATAGCATAGAACACTGTATCACCTTAAAAGTATATTTTCAAATTAATTTTTACGAGGAGATATCACGGAGGCCCTAGGTTGAAAATATCCCAGCTCCCGGGAGTAAACGGCCGCCAAGGCGAAGACGTTTTCCCGATGGACACTAATGTTATTGACCTGAATCTTTGCGAGGATCTTTGCATATTTACCTCATTTCATTTCCCAAATCCTGGACTTTATCTATTGAACGGTTTTGTTCTTTAATTTTGATGGTTTGACAGTGAGAATAAGCAATTCTTTAAAAGAGACTAGCCTTTAATACACGGGAAAAGAGGCTCTTCGCAACGAAACAAAACAAAAAAACAGTGATCTTTAAAAATAACTGCATAAAAAAGGAAGAGAAATTATAGTACAGTGTGCACAAGAAAATTATAACCGAACTTCGGCGTCCTTGATTCATTTAATACCTTCAAACCGATTTGCTGTGACATCATAAATCCTTCCATCTTGTCCTCGATAGCTCCCTTTATTTACAGCTCCAAACTCTCCATCTCCCAGTAGATTGTCAGACTTTCTTTGTCTCTCCCCGTCAATCTCCCAGCTTTTTTGATTCTCTTTCAATAAAATGCTATCAGATGTTTTCTAGCATCAGATATTGATTTATACAACTTGATCATCAGTTAATTGTTTCTACTACCTCTTCATACTCATTTTAATCCGTAGCGCAAAGTCTTTTATTTTATCACTGAAAACAATCATCTTTAAAAAGATCTTGGCTAACACACCAGTGAATACATACCAGTTACTGTGCATACGAATACATACGTGAAACTACGGATATCTACCAACGCTTTTTCATTTTTTTTAAACAGTTTTCATTTCTGACGATTTTGAAAAATGTAACTTACTTAATATGCAAATTTTCATTTCTAACAGTTATCAACAATTTCTTAACATGTAACTTACGTGAATCATAAACTGATTACCGAGAGGGGACGCGAAACCAACACGTTTTTTGTCTTGGCGCATTCGATCATGCATGAATAGCCAAGATCACTTTCAATAGATGGTTTTCACAGTGACGTCATCTAATTGTAAAGTCAAAATAGCGAGGTTTTACGAATTCTTATTTACACTAGGTTGAAGATAAACAAAAAGTAAATCTTTGTACAAGTTTCCATCCCCGTAGCATGTTTCATTTCGAAAATACAGCAATTTGAACTTCCGAATTTTCACAGCGCGTGACATCAAAATAGGAATGCTGTCTCGTTGAAAAAAGAGCCTCTCCTCTTGATTTTCAGCAGTATAACGATTTTAAGTACGAGAAGACATGTTTATACCCACGTACGGCTAGTTCTTGAGTGAAAAGAAAGAGCTTTTAAAAAAAAGTAAACTCCAGATGTTTTTGTTGATTTCCGGCGGCCATATTGGTGGACCAAAGCGGTCCACCAATATGGCGTCTCCATACAAAGCTCTACAAAGTTGCGTGAAACGTTTCGGCAAATAACTCACAAACTGTGGGCCACAAAGACCCGAGACTTGGACAAATGGTTTATATATTAGTCTTTTATAACATTCATCGTCTTGGCTTCCTTCACAGGATGGTTTCCAATTTATTTTTTCGTTGCGTGACAGTGAAAACGATCTATACTTGTCGTGCGTGACGCATACTTATTTGAGCGCGCGCTAGCTTTCGCGTCAACAAGTAAAGCCATGCCTAAAAGATGCTTATCGTGATTAGTCCACTTTATGTTGTCCGGTAGAAGTCACTCCTGGACGTTTTGGGAATAATATTCGCATTTTTTTACTTCGTAAAACTATGATTGACCTTTGTATCGCTTCGTTTACATCGCGAAACGAGGCTTTCATATTAAGAGCAGTTGTCTGTAAGATTCGAGCTATATTAAAAACGCGCTGCCACACTATCTCACCGAATTGGCTAAAAATTGGCATGTAGACTTGATTTGAAGTCTTTAATAAGGAATAGGTAACTTTAGGTTCTAATTCCTCCTACTTCGGAAATTATCGACATGGCCGGTTTTTGGGTGCCTCGTACCGGCGCCATATTGGTTAATAGAAGCTGCTTTTGCGCCTTCGACTACAACCCTGTCTTCAAAGCTAATCTTCCTTTGCCAATACAGATTGAAAGAACAATCCCTCTTTATTGTATTTTTAGAAACTACTTCGAAATTGATAACGTTTTCGCAACGATCGATTAAACTTTTGGTGGGTATACTTTTTGAATTTTTTACACCCGAAAAATTAACAGAATTTTAAAGGCGTATATCTCTTTTGCCACATCGCATTGAAGCTTGCCAATCTGCCTGAATACTCACTGTTTGTAGTTAAATCGAGTTCGTTAATAAAAAAATTGGGCAAATTTAACGGAGCAGAAACAAAAGTAATGAATGGAAGACTGTTCTAGCGACTTTGTCAATAATCTGTACACCGAATACTCGCCAGGTGTTGCCAAAATTACAATCGATAATAGAGTTTCTGTCATTAAATCTGAGTGATCTGTGTAATAAAATTAGCTTCTGTAATATAATCGATAACTCTGCTGCGAAAAACAGTATAAAAAAAGGCAGATTGTATAAGGAAAAGGAAAATGAATTTGTTATGTTTATGCTATGACCCGTAAACAAAATTCAACCATCACAGTCGAACTGGAATTTTCCTGATTTTCCTCCAGTTCCTTTACCGAAACCAGAGCTTTTAAAATTAACCATAGTAATGAAAATTGAGATGTATTACCTTACTCGACGACAAAGTTGCCAGTTTCCACCTTGATCGAAAAAAAGTAATATTTTCCCACGCATATCGCGGGTCGTCACGTTCCTTGCCTGGCGTTACAACTCACGTGAAACCGTCTGGTTTCAAACAACTGAACTGAAGAATCCGTGAAAATCTTAGCCAGGCAATAAATAATGGAAGTTGATATAAGTTATCATTATTAGTGAGCGAGGATCGATGCGATGATAGTTCCAGCTACATGTGTTTACAGCGTTTGAAGATTTACTCAAAACTCATGAGACATGAGCCATTGAAATAAACATCATTACTTCCGGTTTTAAAAATTGGGAGTTGGCAAAGTAATGAATAGACTCATTCTACCTTGTACACCGTTAACAACGGTTCCGTGTACAATTTTCAGGTATTTTGTCTCAATCACGAAGCCCGTTTTGAGGAGATTCTTGATAAACAGAAAAATTGGTTTGGAAGGGGTTAAGAAGAATGAGGATGAGCCGGGACAGCAAAACCACAGTCACCCCACCGAAGGCCTTTAAAACTGTGCGCAAATGCCTCACCCTAGGGACAATTCCAGATTTTTGTTTCCTTGAAAAAGCTTAAAATCGCTAGACAATGCATGGACAACTCCTGACAGTCCTAATTCAAAATAAAGTAAACAGCAAAGAAAATTCAGTTAGAGACCAGAGTGTTTATCCGATATCGCGAACAATAAAGAGTGATTGAAGATGTGTCCGCAGTTTAAGGTAAAATCATTTACCATGCTCACGGACCTTTCGACGACATAAGTGTACCGATTGACGTAATATCAGTGGTAAAAAACGAACGCTTTTTACTGTAGGACGATGACGTCATCATACAAAAGGCGTCTTCACTCTGGTATCCAGAATTTCAAACAGTCAAAACCTAGTAATTTTCTCTGCTCGTCAAATGAAAAACGCCTCTGAGGGCAAGTAGTGGTAATGTGCTTGTTAGTAAGACGTCCAACATAAGGAGACATTCATAATCAGCTCGGTTAATGCATTGATAAAGGGAAACTTTCTCCTTTACCCTTAGGGACAGAGTTCAAAGGCGCAAAAGATTTTTAGTTCAGCTCTAGCATGTGTTGTCTAGCGATTTGCCTTGAGCTTCTCTAAATTTTCCAGATCAAACAAGCTGTGCCCATCGTACATAATCTTGTCTGGGCTCCCCTTGAAAAATTGCACTTCATCAGATGCCTTCAAGTTCATCCTCCGCCGCGACAACTTTGTGATCTATTTTAATGGGTGGTTTTCTGGAACTATCCTATGGCTTGTCCTTTCTGGTCGTCACTATATTAGCGAACATGTTTCAATTTCTCTCCAGCAAAAGTCTCTATCAAGAGCGTAGCCAGGACATTCCAGGTGTGCGGAAAATTTCCAAAACTTACCCTAACATCTTACTCAGTTCTCTCGCAACGTTTCCCCACTACATTTGCTAATTCTGTTAACTAGGTGAGGTTATGCGTGGATGAAATGGCACTTGCAATCGGTGAGAAAATTAGGTTAGACACTTTACCCTCAAGGACGACTCTCACGTTTTGCTGACACTTTCTACCTTAGAAGAGATAAGTGAAGCTTTGCCTTCCCACTCTGTGTAAAAAAAAAATGTCGTTCGGCTGTTCAAACTACTTTTAGAAGACAACAAACTTCCCAACTTTAATTTTTAATAAAGGTATAAGGGTAGGAATCCAAATTGTTTTGGAGTATTTCACTGATTTTAACACGATGATTGTAAAGTAGTGTCTAGTGAGTACGGGGGCTAATGACCCATCGTAAAAATCTGAAATTGAAAACAAAAATCTTGTATAACCGAGTAGTACACAATTTTAGTTATTTTATTGAGTTGTGAAAAATCACAAATTTGTTTCTTCTTGAATATGTTATACTCTCATCCATTCAGTCTTTCCGATATGCCCGTCGGATAGCGGAAGTTAACGTAAATGATCGATTACCTGAAAAGAAGCTACCATCCTAACTTTCCACCTTCGGGTCTTTTCCCTAGCCATAATTTTTTTCCCTCAAGGACTTTTTCTGTTTTACATAATAATTGGTCTTGCATTCAGCTTATTGATTTTGAGAGCCTAGTCCTATGCCGTATTCTGATGCGATCTACTTTATGTAGCTTTCCCCCCATCTAACAGCTCCTTACTGAACAAAAACGGCTTTAATTGAGTCTATTCAAAGAACTAGCCAATATTTTTGCAGGGGTAAGCACAATGTTCCTAATTCCCCTAGTCCCCTTCTTAGACGCTTTCATGTGCATCAGGTGTTAAATTTTCTTTTCATAAGCTACAATGCTCATAATCGCGCATTCTGATGTCATTTATGCTTAAAAATTAAAAATTAGTTTATCGAAGTAAGAGTGAATTAAAGGTGTCATGAGGCGTTTGTGATTTCATGAACTATTTGATGCGGTCCTTTTCTTACGGCTTATGTCCGTTGGTGAAATCGCTACTTGGGTTTTCTTGGATTGAAAAGGGCGGGCTCTTTCTAAACGTGGCGTTGTTTATGGGACCTTAGTATTCAGAACAGAATCAGTCGATGGCAAACAACGAAAAGGCTTTTATGTGGTAAGTTACAGTGATGAACCTTGCCTCGAGATGGTCATATTTTTGTACATACCTTCATGCAATTCAGTGTTGGTCTGAAAATTTTTGTTATGGATGGGGGAAGGGGGGGGGGGGGGGAGAGATCAGAACATGTACCTCGTGTTGTTTACGAGACATTAAAGTAATGAAAACTGTTAAACAGTCTTCTACAAATCAAAATAGTTGCAAATGCTTACGGGAGGCCCTAACTATATGATGATAAGAAGGGCTATATTTGGAAAGGTGCATGGTCGTGGAGTTAAGGAGATTTGAC